CCTGTTTGCTATAACACTATTTTCCTAAAAATGTTACAGAAAAAGTAGGTAAATGATTTCTCCCCCACTGTCAAAAGACCATTTGCTGTTTGAGAAGACTCTCCTAGATCTTATCATTAGAACCATTTTTCTATTTCCAGTTAGCAGCACGCTTCCCTTAGTGTGATATGTTCTGCATAAACCACTGTTTTTCTCCTCTGCCGGTTTGCTAAGGCTACCTTGGCATTTACTGTGTTTTCCTCCTTTCTAAGGGTGGGAATTTTCTCTTTCGGAGGGAGATACATTTCTACATTATTGCCTATTCATTTCCTTTTCATTTTCTTAGAGAAAATCAGGTTCATCACTGCTTGTAGTCATGGAGATTTCATGTCTGCAGAAGAGATCCAATTGTGGAATTTCTTTGTTAATCCCACACTGGACATTTAAGCTTTTGTGTTTGGATCAGTGCAGCCCAGGCAGGGGAGCGACCACAACAGGCTACAACGAGACTCTTTAACCCAAGGTGGGCAGGGCAAGTGTGTGCAGTGAGGGCTGTCCATGGACGCTGGGGGCCGGGGCATAGCAGGTGCTCAGGCCGTGGTTGGTGACTGGGCAGGTGAAGATCTTAAGCTCGAACCTGCGAGACGCTTGCCTCCCATGGTGCAGTGAACTCTGTATGGCCTCATCTTCCTCTCAGACTGGCCCCCCCACACCCCTGCCCTGTGCCGAGCTGCCTATGCCTCGATTCTGCCCCTCCTTTCGACAGTCTTGACTTCCGTTCTAGTAAAACCTGCTTCTGGTGCATCCTCCTTTCTTCCTCTCCTTCAGGCCTTCAGGTCTCCCCAGTGGCTCCCCACTGGCTGCAGTCTCCTAAGCAGCCATGTCTCCCACTGGCCAGTGTCCTGCCTCCCCATTGCTGCTAGGACAGTGAGGGCATGGGATACGTCTCAAGCAAATCTTTGCTGAGCAGCTGAGAGATCCAAAAAGTCTTCCCAACATGCAAATCTGATCATGTTACTCCTTTGTTTAAAAACCTTCAGTAGGGGTGCCTGGGTGGCTGGGTCAGTCAAGCGTCTGCCTTGGGCTCAGATCATGATCACAGGGTCCTGCGATGGAGTCTTGCATCAGGCCCCCTGCTCAGCACGGAGCCTGCTTCTTGTTCTCCTTCTGCCTCTTTTCCTGCTCATTCTTCCTTTCACTCTCTCTCTCAAATAAATAAATAAAATCTTAAAACATAAAATTAAATTCAAGTAAAAACCTTCAGTGGTTCCCAGTGGTTTGAGGATAAAATCCAAACTCTGAGATCATTCAAGGCTCTTCAAGCCCTTGCCATCTCATCACCTGTCATTCACCATTTGCATCCCGTGGCTTGGCCATCCCACGGGGACAGCTAACAATTTTCCGGGTGATACGTGTGTTGCAGTTGCGAATGATTTCCAGCTCTGGAGTCAGATTGAATGTGGTCGTGTTCCAGCTCCACCACAGAGCTCTGTGACCTGGAGGGAGTTCACTTAAACTCTCTTTGCCTCAGTTTCTTCATCTGCAAAATGGGACTGATAGTATCACCTGCTAAGGTTGGTGTATTAAATGTGTGCACACATGTCAAGCTCTTAAATCAGTCTCTGGCACATACAGACATTCCATTATCATAACCCCGGGTGTTGTATGAACTTACTGACTCTATCCTGTGCTGCCTCCTTCTGCCGGAGATATCCCCTCCGCCTCTGCCTGATGGACCCGAGCCATCCTCTGACTCCCAATCCCCATATCACGGCCTCTCTGGAACGAACGTCTCTAGCCAAGGAGTGTTAAAAGCTTAAGTCGTGGACTTATAGCCTGGTTCTGCTACTCACTATTTACTCTAGTCTAAACTTGTTAAGCTGTGGTTTCCTCCTTAGTGAAATTCAGATAAGAAAATAATTGCCTCTACCTTATTAAGAGTTCTCAGGGAAAAATATAAATACATACCTAGCATATGCTAAATACTTCATTCATGTTATATATTATTTTATTAGCAGCCTTTCTGCCTTTCTGCAATAGCCTTTCTACAGTAATACTGCCTACTCACAGTATTATTGTCATCTGTTTCCTTGTTTGTCTAGGTGGGTGATTCGAATTCAGAGACAGAACTTAATGCCTCTCAGGCACTTGACGCATCATTCAGGCCACGGAACTGTGGAACTGACAAGGACTCAGTGGCTTTATCGATACATGTAACCATCTGTAACCATTTTCATATGTTGCTTTAAGAGATTTCCGAGGACCATGTCCGTAAGAGAAGATGTTAGGAAGGAAGGGTCTTTGAGAGGCCCTAACAACTGGCGAGTAAATGGTCCTATACCATTTTATTTGGCCCAAAGATGACTGGGAATAAAGGGGAAGCCAGACTGGATGGGCTGGGACTTCACTCCCAAGACGTGACACGGGCTTTATCAATAGGAATAAATACCTCCTGCTGGTCTTCAAACAGGGTCGTGCCAATACATGCTAAGTAGCTGATTATCCAAGAACGACACAGAGCCCTGATGTGGCGGGTGTTTGCCCATCACCGCGGTGCAAATACTCCCTCCAAGGTTACTCTCAAAACACCACTGTGATGTTAACCCACTTGCAAGGATGGACCAGACATCCAGGCATGGACTCCCTCCAGCACAACACTGTGTAAACCTCAGTTTTTCTATCTGTAAAATGTGAGTCCTCTGAAGTTACAGTCCTGTCTCCAAGTAGAAATGTTGGTGGGTCAAATGAGAGAGGAAAAAAAAAAAAAACAACAGGCAAATGTTGGTGTTTGGGCAACGCTGCCTGTGCTCATCATCATCCTGAAACTCTGTCCACTGGCCGTGGGCATCTTAGGACCGGGATCTGTGCTGACAGTCTTCTGTCACAAACCAGCCCGTCCGGGCTTCTGCTCAGAGCCATGTATCTGGTTTTATCCTCCCAATCAGGGTTCTGCTCTGCGCAGCAGACTGACTCAATTAGCCTTTCATTCCAGAGTCCAATTGTGCGTCAATTCTGAGGTTGTTAAGCAAAATGAGTCTGGTGGCATTAGCCTCGCGCTGAAGGATAGTAATCCGCATCGTGGTGCCGTTCAGTTAATAGTCTGCTTGAGAGACTATGAGAAACGGGGACTCGGAGACAAAGCGACCTTTTGTCTGTCTCTGGGGGACAGGCTGGGAGTGCAGGGCTGCCAGGTCAGAGAGCTGCTCAGGTTGTGGGCAACGCTGGAAGCCCAGCTGCCTGAACCACAGTTGGCCTTTGCAAAGTTAGAAGCCCAGCGGCACCAGATCATTAACTTTCATGACTGGGAAAATTCTTCTGAAATTAACACTCAGTCCAAGCTGGATGCCATTGGAGTCCGTTGAGCAAGCCCGAGCCACCTTTAGGGATTTCCTCGGAAAAATGAATCCTCTAACCAGGCTACAGAAAATGGCCAGGTTTTATGCCTTCCAGTGTGTTCAATTAGAGTCAGAAAACACCAACGAGGCTTAGACGGTGGGAGATCCAGGCACGCAGACGGGCTCACACTCAAGTCTCATTTGGAGGATTTTGCCAAGACCCTTAGCTTCAGCACATGGCCCTGCTTGGGATGTGGGATGTGGGGGCCTCTCTGAGGACTTTCAGGTGCCGTGCGAAGAAAGTAAAGCTTTGTTGTAGCACCTGCCCTGGGGATTGACAGTGATGGGACCAGGCACACATGGATGGGGCCCAGATGGGCGCAGCTCGGGAGGCTCAGATACCCCGGCTTAAAAGGGTTTGAGGAGAGACCAGACCCTCACAGACCCCCTGCAGCCTTTGCAGTGTGCTATGAACTCAGACAATTTCATTGGGCCTCTTAACTCCCCGCTAGCTACGATTGTAGTAAAGGGACACATAATGGGCTTCCTGCAGAACTTTTACAAACCTCTGTGATCTCCACACACGCTACCTTGCTCTGCCCTGCCACGCAAGCTCGCACATAACCCAAGGTATGCTAAGTAAACACAGTTTTTTGGGTGGAAGGAGGAAAAAACAGCACTATGTATGTTGTCTGCCAATTTGGGTATGCTGAAGAAAAAAGAACCGAGACAACCATCCATTGTCTCCCATAATTGCTGGATAATTTAAATTCTCTTGAAGTCCATTGTGTTCTTCGCTCAGAAGCAGAGCTGTTGTCTGCTGAGATGACCTCGGCAGTGGCCCCACTCTCATTCAGGATCTCTCCAACAATATGCTCTTCAGACTGAAAAACAGCCAGTTGGCCTTCTGCCTCCCCAGACCAGCGTGTCTGTGGCCCCTCTCCATCTCCGGGGCTCTGCAGTTTTGCCACCACTCATGGCTTCCCAGTGGACTGCGCTGGCCCCTGGGCAGCTTCCCAGCTGTGGACAGTGCAGCCATGGTCAGCGGCCCCTCCAGGCACCTCCTCCCCCAGAAGGCCCCATCACACAGTGAAATGGTGCCTCAAGTGAGCATCGCCTGTCCCTCCTTCGGTTCTGGAGCAGTGAGCCCCTCCTCAGTGTCACTTGGCAGGAATCAATCCCTATCCCCTGGGCTGGGGAGTGAGAGATAACTTACAAGACAAATACACATATTTTTAAAGCCAGCAGGAATTACGGGAGCAGATGGGCTGTAGGATCCTATTTGGATGCCAGGGACATGTTTCTGTATAAAGTAAATATTTTCCCAGTGTAGATCTCTGGTGAGTGTGTAGAGAAGCATATTTCCTAAAGATGCAAATAAGTCTGTCAGAAATAAATATTGAGTGGAAACTTCAAAGCATCTAGATTTCTCCAGTTATAGGCCCTGAAGACTTCTCCGCAAATAAGCAGACACACAGGTGGGCAGAGGGCTGGGGGAAGGAGGGGACGGTTGGGTAGGGGAGTTGGACAAGAGGGGGTGCTCACATCCTAAGAGCTCACACTTTCTTTTTTTTTTCCTTTTGGTGCGGAAAAAGGTGTATTGACGAAGGAACAAAGAAAAGTTACGTTGGTCCAGAAGTTTAGGGTATTTCAAAACACACAGCTTACCCTTTCTCCCCATTGCAGATCTCGCCTTGCAGATTTTTTTACCAACTGCCAACCCGAGTCAAGGTCCGCCAGCAGCTGTCTGAAGGAAAACTATGCCGACTGCCTCCTCGCCTACTCAGGGCTTATTGGTAAGATGGGGGAGAAGCAGGACGGGACGGAAATCTGGCTTACAGATGCTCACGGACTCTTTCCATTGTAGCCTGCCACTGTCTGCGAGAGGAAAAATCGCAGTACCCTCTGTCCTGGGGTTTTGATGTTAAGCCCTATAGGACTTACCTGCAGAAAAAAAGAAACCTGGGGATCACGGCTGTGCCTAGGCAGAGGCAGGAAGCAGGGAATCTCCCAGGGCAGGAAGACTGTGGTGTGAGCACCTGAGAAGCATCTCGGGGTGGGGGTGGTGGGGGGCGGGGAACCAACCACACAGAACAATAGGAAAGGAAAAAAAAAAAACAAAACATGGCCATGGAAGAGGGGAGCAATTCCCCCCGAGCTCATTGAATTAGGGCACTTGGAAGTCATTCTGTCTGGGGAAATAAAAAAGGCTGCTCCCCAGAAATGGAAATAAAACCCCTAACTACTGGGGTCCTTCTCACCATTGATATTCTTGGTAATTCAGCTCCGGATGTGCAGGGAGTGAGGTCGCCTGGGATGTTTCCGGGAGAACAGACCTGGCAGAAACAGTGTTTTCTGCCTCTCCACACGGGAAGCGGGTTCTTGGCATTCGGGGCAACAGTGCGTTTAGGGTACGAGTGAGTTAGAAGGTCAGAAGTGAGGCAGATTTGTGTCCGTGGCTAAAAGGGGCAGGCAGGAAGAGAGGCAGGTGTTCCGGGGCCCGGAGCCTGAAGAAGCCCCGGTGGCAGGGCTCCGTCACGACTGACATTTGAGGACAAACGTGTAGTGAAGGCTGTGGAGGGATGAGGGAAATCACACTTGTCAGAAGCATGATGGCTCAGCCACGGCGACTGCACAAGTCACCGGGCAGGAAGAACTTCCCACCAAGAATGACAGCACAGACTCAATTTTTTTTTGTCACCAGAGTGGCTTAAAACTGGCAAGAGCTTTCGGGAATATCAATGATGGCACTTAATGGGGGGGTATTACAGGTGCCTGCCCACTCATCCCAGCGTTTTTTTTTTAAAGAATACCTGTGTTCTCTTGGCCAAGACCTTTCCCCAATGCTGTTTACCATTTTTGGGGCTGTATCCCAATGAGTGTAACTTCCTTGAGTCAATATCCCAAATTCGCATTCGCTCTTTCCTTTTCTTAAGTAAGTTGATCTCTACGAGGGGTTACTTATCAACTATGGAATTACAGGTGTGAGCAACAATGGAGATAATTAAGCCGTGCTCATTATAAAAAGTTAAAAAAAAAAATACAGAGAAACCCAAAGGAGACAGCTGGAAGGATCGACAACTCTACTCCCAGATATAATCCCTATGAATACCTCAGTCCATATCCTTCTAGGCATATGTGTTTATTAAATCCTCCATGAGTGGCCAAGGCACAGGGCTACCAGGCATTTCTGGCTTGGAAGCCATCACACGCCCAGGATGATGAACTACTTATCATATAATGGAATGAAATGGTTGAAGCAATGCATTTTACAGACCAAAATTTATTTCCATCTTGGGTCTGGATCTTTCCCTCCGCACTGGTCATTGGGTTCTAGTGTCTTTCAGGACAAAGCTTGCGCCTGTTTCTTCCATATGTCAGGGACCCATCATGGTGTCCGGCATTCACTGGCTACTTAGTAGACACATTTTAACCTCTGGACTCAGGGTTTGGGGTACCTTCTCCTTTCTCATCCAAATTAAGTACTTACTCTCTGTTGTGGGTCAAAGTTCCCATCCCAAGGTATAACAGGAGATAATGTAGTTTGAATTAGTAAGGAATGTAGGGTAAAAAAGACATATCCTTGACTTAGAAGAGCTTACAAAGAATTTTTTTTTCCTGTAGTGAACAAAATATATCCTGTGACTCACTGACCACTATTACTTTTATGTCCACAAAATACAGAAAAACAGAAGGCTTCTTGGCATGACTAGGCATCGCCTGGTGCGAACCACCCAGAAGAAGACATTTGGGTTGTATTAAGCATAAATGCTTTGCTTATTTGTGCCAGCACAGAGCTCATCAGGAAAACCATGAGCATAGGAAGATGTAGGCAAGAGAGACCACCCAGCATTTCTTTGAGGGCTTTTGAGGACTTCTGAGACAATACTCTAGAAGCCATCAGCTTAGAGGATTTCCAGTTCCCTTTCCAATTCCTTCACAACTTGGAAGACTTTATTTAAAGCAGTTGAGTGTCTGGTGAGCAGAGGCCTCGTTATATATGTTCCGGATGTCAGGGAACCCAAAAGATAGCCTCGAAGCTCCCCTGTGTTCCTTTGAAGAAGCCATTTGCTTCTGAGGGAAGTGGATGCAAAGTCCTAAAAGGATTTTTTAAGATATGTGAAACCAGTTCTATCTATTTATGGAGATTAATGACATTTTCAAGAAAATGCAAGGGATTTGGGAACTCATGCATTCAAAGTTAATTCTCTTCTACTCCGTAACATCCATACCATTTGGGCAGAAAAAAACACCCTAAGTGCAGCTCTAGGAGTTCTGTTATAATTTTTTAAGTAAATGTGTAAATTATTTTATGTGCTCAAGATAAATTACCAAGAAAACGCACTGCTTAACATAATTTCCCACTCAGCCAACCCAATGTTTGTAATTATCCGTGGTGTGTCCGTGTCAGAGGAACATTTGTTTCTCCTTAGGCTAGAGGAAAGTCCGTACGATCACATAAGAACAAGGTGCCTTATTTTTACTTTCTTAGGTACAGTCATGACCCCCAACTACATAGACTCCAGTAGCCTCAGCGTGGCCCCATGGTGTGACTGCAGCAACAGTGGGAATGATATAGAAGAGTGCCTGAAATTTTTGAACTTCTTCAAGGACAATACTTGTCTCAGTGAGTTGAAAAAAAAAAAAAAGGGAAGCAAACGCACAAACATGCTTTCCTCTCTGTGTTCAAGCTATACCTTTGTGTTTCTTGTGCCTGCCTCTTCTCTCTCTCTCTCTCTCCTCTCTTTTTTCTGGTGGTGGTGAATCTAGCCTCTCTTGGCCATACGACACGAGGCAGCGGGGAACAGAGCGAGTGGGTACTGCCAAGTCTGTGAATCCAAAGGCCTAAGAGAGCAAGAGATTCAAACAACAGAGGGTGTATCCTGTCAGATAGAACCCTTCTACCCACAGATCAAATTCTGATGTTGGCAACCAGCATGAAGTCTGTTCCAAAGGTTCTTAAAACCTGAGTCCAATATGCGGTGTGAGAAGCTCAGACAAATTAGATGGGGATAAGCCTCCGAGGGCTTGCTGAGGAAAATTAGAACGTGAACATCAACAGCCCCCTGGATGTTCAGGGTTGGCTCAGAGAAGCCATAGTTCTTGAGTGGGATAAGCTGGCAGTGCAGGCGGGAGCCTCAGGATGTCCGTTATCTCGGGAGACAGAGATGAGCACCCGGGAGCTGGGGGGCGGTGGGAAGCTTGCTCCTGCTTGTAAATAGTATCAGCTGTTACTGCCACTTTCTTCAGGCAATATGGAAACCTGTTTCCCAAAGGGAGAGGGAGAGAGAGAGACATGCAGGTGTGAACAGTGGGCACCCATCAGACCGTGCAGGGTCTTCCTTCTATCTGCAGAGATGCTCACCGCTTGAGGGGACGATCCAGCGGACATGCTTGAGGACCCGCTCTCCTTTGGTGGCAGCTGCCGTTAGTGTATTGGGTTCCTTCAACTCACTCCACAGGGAGTGCGATATATACATGATCTCCTTGACTGTTTTCTGCACAAGAGTGCTAGGAGGTGTAGGTAGGAGCTTCTCCATTTCATAGGTGAGTCAACAGCTATTACTCACATGGGTCCTCCAGGCCACAGTTGGATCTGAAGCCTGAGTTCCTCCTTCCGCAGCCCCTGTCCCCCGAGGCTTTTGTGTCGTGCCTGATATCAAAGGGCCCATTGGACGAGAACATATGGCAGAACACCGGGGACCAGGTGGGACTTCCTGGTGAGAGATGTTGAGCCAGCTTCTAGGAATTAAGGTTCAGCCACCCCTCTGAGAGCCGGGAACACTCTCCATGACGGTCTGCTGTCCAGTGACTGATGGCCGGAGAATTAGCTAACAATTTACCATGTGTACATGGAAAAGCTTTTAAGTGTTACTTATTCTAAAACCTCTTTATTGCTTCCTTTGTTGAAAAGACAGATCTAAATGATTTGCTTACTAGGTGCTTCAGTCATGTGGCTGTGACCAAATGCTTTAATCATCTTAAAACTAACACAAGCTTCTGGACACCTAAGGGAAATGGAAAACCACAAAACTAGTGGGACATATGGAGACATTTGCTGAGATATTGGGCGTATCCCCGAACTGAACCTCAGATCTCCTGTTTGGTCTTGACTTAAAAAAAGAAAAAAAAAAAAAAAAATATATATATATATATATATATATATATATATCCTTCTTTTCCACATCCTGCATAGTCTTTTGGCAGAATGCAAGTTTTAATGAAGATAAAGCAATGACAGTATAGGTCAGTGCGAGAAAAGATTGTAGTCACACTGGCTGGAAAACCGCTCCCTCAATGGAGAAATTAAAGGTGTCCCTGCTTAATAATATTTTGGTGAAGGGGAGACTGGTCTGGCTTCATTTTGCTGATGACTTCGCAATAAAAATAAATACATTTGGTCTTCAACAGGGACCAAAGCCAGCCAGAGTTTTCCACAGTCATTCCATTTAGACTTGGATGAGAAGGGGCACAGCCCACCAAAGACACAGGGCCGTCAATTCACATCCTGCAAAAGGCTCTAGAGTAGAAAGAATTAAAATTTGTAGGTTCCAACCCGAATGTCACAACCCAGTTCTGCCCCCTTCAAATTAACCAGCTCTCTCCCAGATTCCTCTATCACGAACACAGCTTTAACCGATCGTTTATTTCTGGTCATTGGGGGGAAACACAGTTATTTTTAAGCCAAAGTGGGTGGCCAGAGTGAGGGGAAGAGAGAAGAATGAGCTGGAGATGGAGGTAGGATCGGAGTTACACTCACTTAGGTCTTTCTCCAGATGCCTCCTTCACCTCCCTGGACCGCTGTATCAGAACTATGCTTCCCCGTCACACTCTCACCCCCCGCTTCATTTCCTCCAGGCGTTTCTCAGCACCGAATAGATTCTGTATTTCACTTAATACCCTCCCCAGCCAGCATGGGCTCTCATTGAGGGCAGGGGCTCTTGTCTATTGCTGCCATCCTTACTGTTCACTGCTGGATGCCCACGCTGCAGAGCCTGGCACGTAGTCCATGCTCCCACTGACGTTTGAGTAAACAAATGAGCAAGTGCACAGACACCCCAGGAAGCAAGACCACCACACGGGAAAAGCTCAGGTAGTACCCATACATGGCAGGGGTCTCCTGGATCTCCGTGTCTGAACAGGAAAGAGGAAGGAGCGTTCTGCAGCTTGTGGTGGTGGTGGTTCTCGGTCATTCGGAGAAACCCGTCCCCCTGTCCCTCTTTCTCTGCATTATACCCACCCGTTAAGCCATGTAAGACCACTAAGAGCAAATTTATATTAATTCGAGGCTGTTTCTTACAGCCTAAAAAATGTAAAGTTTGAGAAAACAAGCTTCCAATTTGCTGAACTTAAAGGATAACAATTTTAGAACAAAATGTCACTTCTAAGAGGAAGATTAGGCTTAAATTATTCTGTCTTGTATATCGGAAGATGCCAGCTAAGAATCATATATTAACAATTTGCACATTCAGGTCTCAAATGGAGGAGTTTGATTTCTTATACAATGAATATGAAATAAAAAATTCCTAAAGCCAGGCCAAATCCCCGAGGACCTGATTAAAAAATGTTTTTAATTCATTTTGGGGAGGGGAACAACACACAACCAATTTACTCTTGCCATAAAAACAATCTAATCCCATGAAATTGTAATAAGCTTTTAAAGTTTTACATTTTAAACTTTTCATTTAAGCAGGGCTGCTCCTACCTAATTATGCAGATTTTGTTTGGAAGACTGGGAGCAGAAAGGGAAAAAATAATCTTACTTAAATTTTCACTATGTATTGATGAGATTTGGGGTAGATTTTTTTTTTTTTTCCTTTTAAGGAAACTAGTTGCATCTATACTAGTTGCATTTGGCTCATAGTAGCTGCTCAGAGCCTGTACCGGGTGCTCTATGGTAGTGAGTCACGTCTTTGGCTGTTTGATTTTACCGCCTGCCAAATTAGCGTGGGGGTCACCAAGTTCCCTCATAATTAGGGATATGTTACTTTAAAAAAAAAAATCACTAACTAGTTTGCTTTTAGTATAGTATTTTAACAGAGTACAGGGATATTCTCAGAAGATCGTGATCCCCCCAAAACAGGTTCGAGGCTGGGTTTCGAAGCACTTGACTGAGTATTTCAGGGCAAGGACCTTGCTCAGCACCTGGTACATAAAAAGGAACATGATCTGTCTTGTGCTTCGAGCATACCGAAGTGTCCATCTCGGTGTTTAATGAATGAATTGATTTTTGAGTACCTGACCCGATGGTTGGCTCTCCGCGCGTGGAGGGTGGAGGGATGGATGGATCTTGTTCAGGAAAGTCCAATACTGTGATCAGAATTTCTAGTGTGCCTCTCTGGCTTCATGTATCCTGTCTGTTACATTTGCTGCTTGACTTTGAAATTGGATTTCCTCCTGTTTTACTGCAGAAAATGCAATTCAAGCCTTTGGCAATGGTTCTGATGTGACCGTGTGGCAGCCAGCCCTCCCAGTTCAGACCACCACTGCCACCACCACCACAGCCTTCCGGGCCAAGAACAAGCCCCTGGGGCCAGCAGGGTCTGAGAATGAAATCCCCACTCATGTTTTACCACCTTGTGCAAATTTGCAGGTAAGAGCGGGGACCGAACTCCCGTGTGGAGCTCACTTGTGGGGGCAGGGGAAAGCACGGACCAGTTTCCTGCAATGCATTTAAAGATGGATGGCTAATGATGGAGGGCTGCTTGGGTTTGAATTTTACAAGTGCATTTAACCACGATAAATGAAGATTGCGAAGCGCCACAGAGCGGGAGAAGGACAAACTCTGGGACTGACTCGCATTTGCTGGGAGTGTGACTTTGGTCAGTGGGCCCGGAGCTGGCCTTGGTGTCTTCACCTGTAGAAGGAGGGGGCTGGGGAGATGAATCCTCAGGCCTTCTGTTTGTGGCGTGGCAGAGTCAAACTGGGATCAATTTATTTATTATGCTTATTCTATGTTCCCCCCAAAGCAGCAACCTGTTGAAAGAGAAGGTACTCTTGGGTTGGTCGCCATCAGTGTCATTTAAACTTAACACAGAGAGTGTAACTCTGTCTTAAGGTGAACCAGGGGCACTGTCGCTAGTGAGGTGTTAATTCCAAGAGTTCCTATGGGTTTGTTCTTCCAGAAGCAGAAGAAAACGTTTTTTTCTGAAGTGAAAGGAGCTGGGTAGAGCCACCCTGCAAAGCCTCTTGTGGGACTGGAGGCCAGTGAGAGTGGCCAGGAGACTTCCTTGGGGTTAATCCAGATCTCCCAAGGGCAGAACCACAATGGCATGTGAACAGTTGTTTCCTGCCTTTAGTCAAAGCAGAGTGTTTATTCTGCCTTTTTATTGATTTTTTTTTTTATAGTAACAACTATTCAGCTACTTACTTCTCAAGACATTATGTGTTTATATGTTTGCAAAGTATTTTCACACACTTTAGGTCTTGGGCTGTTACCCCCCTGACAGCTGAGGGAGAGTAATAGTGTTACTGCGCTTGCACTGGAGGGCACTGGGTCTTGGTGAAGTAACACTTTTGTGGGAGCCCACAGAGCTTGTGAGTCACCCGGTGCTGGGAATCCAGGAGACTCCCACTGCTTTCATGGTTCTTCCTGTGTTTGGGGGGAAGGAGTGACCGCGTGGTGATCTCTGCTTCCTGCCGTGCTAGGGGAGGGCACAGGTGCTGAGCACTGGCTGTCATTTCATACTGGTCACTGGAGTATATTCTCTCTTCTCTCCCCACTCTACTGCCACCAAGGACCAGGCTTACCAGAATGTTCACCAGAAACCTTCTTTGGCCAATACCTTCTTAACTCACAATCCCCTTCGTTCCCTACAGACCCTACAAACTGGGGCAGTTCTGCTTCTGATTGGTTTGCGGTCTCTCTCCCCCAATGTCTCCTTTTTCTTCTTGGATGTCCTACGTGCCGCTCAGCTGGCGATTGGTCTCTGTCCCGTCCTCCCATGTCACAAACCCTCAGACACACTCATACACACTCACACGCACAGCACTAAGGGGAAGGTGGGGAGGGGAGCCACACAGCCCAAGGTCAACCAGATATTCTTCATGCTTCTGAAGCATTTCCTGAGCATGTCCAATGTCCAAAGCTCTGTGCAGAAACTGCTAGAAGTAGGACGCTTGGGCAGTATTTCAGCCTCTAACTGCTCCCTCTTGCAGCAGAGCCCTCAGGCTCGGTGGGGGGAGGTGACTTGCACAAATCTCCCCCCTCCATGCTCCACCCCCAGCCAGGGAGAGGAGAGTCTGGAGCCAGACATCGCACCACAGACACAGGATCTGTTCTTTGTCTCTGGCTGGTCCCTGGCATCCTGCTTCCTCCTAGGCCAGCCTGCTGCTCTTACTGGGTCCACTCTGGTTCTAGCATCAGTAAGACAAGTGGCCAGATTAGAGATAGGACCCTGGTGTCTTTCGGTGATAAGAGTGGGCCAGAGATGGCTCCCGACTGGTGGAAGAGGCAAGCTCTGGCCATGGCAAAAACCAGGTTCTTTTCTGCAGGTGTCTGAGCGCACGGAACATGGCTGCAGGGACAGTGTTTAGCCTGTGTATAGAGCTCCTTTGGTGGTTTGGAAACTTCATAGGGATGGGCACTCAGAAACAATTCTCTCTTCAGTGAACGTATAAATAATGGGCAAGATGCAGCTTGTCAACATTTTTGGGAAGTCAGACCAAACTAATAGATGACATTTCAGAAGCCTAGCCATCATTGGAAATTCTATGAAATTAGTCTTCTCCGTGAGAGAGGACTCTGTCAGCCATAAGGAGACATTCTCCCCACCTCCCTGTGCCTTTGCTACTCCCCTCCCCCCGCCGAAAAAAGCACCTGGCTTCTGATTCCTTTGGTGCCCGCATGTCTTGGCCCCACAGTATTGTGCCTCCAACACAGCTCTGCCCAGCCACCCCTCCTGTCAGGAGGACTCGGTGCTGCCACAAGGTTGCCCTGGCAACGTCAGGGGACACATGAGCTCTGTTCCCAAGAAACGGCACCTTGCCTTCCCCTGTATTAGTGATAGGAAATCTGCCTCATGAGTAGAGGGGCAAAGTAAAATTAAAGCATGATGTTTACGTTGAGGCTGTTAGTTAACTTCTCAGCAGAGGGGGAAATGGCAGTGGGGGATGACCAAGGAATAAGGTTGCAGCCATACTTGTCTGCCCTGGAAGACACACACACACACTCACACACACACACACACACACACACACACACACACAAAATCCACATAAGTTGGAGCTAAATGGCATTTCACTTCTGGGGAGCCCTTCAGGGTTCTACCAGACCTCGCCTTTCCTCTTAAGGGGACGGCCTGCTTGAACCCGTTTTTACACACATGAAGCAGGGAGTAAGAGCATGGGCTCTGCAGCCAAGCCTGTGTTCAGACCCAGGCTCTTTTCCTCACCAGCACCCTGGCATCTCTGAGCCTCAGCTTTCACAAAACTCAAGGATGGTTGAGCTGCCAGAATGGAGGGGATTAAATGGGGATAATACTTCAGGGCCAGGGGCAGAAGGAACACTCCAGAATGGTACTTTAAAAATGTCCCATGTGATGTCTGATCCCCAATCAGTTGGCCACTGGGTCCCTTGACAGCGGATGGGTGTTGGTGTTGTGCCGGGTTTACAGACATCCTTCCCGTTTATACACAAGGCAACAGAGTCAGGGAAGGGCTGGCGACTTAACCAGAATCACATAGTAACTCTTTGGAGGGCCTGGGATTTCTGCCTCAAGGCCGGTATACTTCCACCTTATTCCATGACCTTGGACAACCAACCTGGGCTCTTTCTTTGAATTAGAAATAGACAGAAAGGAGGAAGTAAAAAAACGGAAAATTACACAGTATTTGTCTTTCTGCATTTGGCTTATTTCACTTAGCATAATGCCTCCAGGTTCCTGATCTCACTTCCATGCAGTATCTGATAAGGTCAGATTTTTTTTTTAAAGATTTTATCTATTTATTTGACAGAAAGAGATTACAAGCAGGCGGGGTGTGGGGGGGAAGCAGGCTCCCCGCCGAGCAGAGAACCCACTGCGGGGCTCGATCCCAGGACTCTGGGATCATGACCTGAGCTGGAGGTAGAGGCTTAACCCACTGAGCCACCCAGGTCAGATTTTTAAAGCGAGGAGAATGGTGGTTACCAGAAGCTGGGCCGGAAGGTGCCGCTCAGAGGGAACAGGTTTCAATCACATGGATGAATGGGATCTAGAGCTCTAGTATACAACATGGTGACTACAGCTAGTAATAGTGTATCGGATACTTGGAACCTGCCAAGAGAGTACATCTTAATTGCTCCCACCCTCCCCCAAAATGGTAGCTACCTAAGTGATATGTTAATTAGCTTTACTGTGATAAACTTTTCCTCAGATACACGTGTATCAAAACATCAGGTTGTAGTCCTTAAATACATACAATTTTTATTTCTCAATTTTACCTCAGTAAAGCTTGTGACGGGGGGAGAGGATAGAAATGGCGGCAGGGAAAAGCTCCTTGTGAGGGACCATGTGTCCTAGTGCTTCCTAAAGGCAGCCATTCAAGTAATAGGGGAAGCACAAAGCTCATGCTTTAGGTTGGGATTATTCATGCAATTCCAGGAGACAGGGAATAGGAAAAGACTGAAAGTTTGCCAGTAAAATTTTCACAGCTTGGCGATGTCTTTTGAATGACCTATACTAACAACAGTAGAAAGAATCATTGGAGGCCAGAGGATGCGGGTGATAAGAGATGGGCCTTCACCCCGAGAACATGGTCCCTGGCACTGATTTAGGACTCCTGCTTTGGAGGAGGGCTCCCAGGAGACTCATTCTCCCTATTTGTCCTTCTTCTGCCTGCCTGGCTGTCTCCAGATAAATTACCATTTGCCAGGGGGTCCTAGAAATATCTTACAATGGCGTTTGTCCCAGCCGCGTGTGTCATTACTCAGAACAGAACTGACTTAAACCAGCTTGGGATCCATTGGTAGCAGATTTGGAGAAAGTCAACTATCTTTGGCAGCTCTAAAGTTCACTTCCCTCGAGAGGCACCCTCCTGTAATATTTTAAAATATACAATAATATGAGAAAACTCTTGGGGACTTGAATTCCTATCTTAACATTTGAGATAGATTTCCCCTTTGGAAGGGAAGAGATAAGAATAAACATTTTCAAAAGTCGGCTTCAAAGTTTAATAATCAACAGAACCAAATGCATTTCTTTTGGGGAAATGGGTGGCCTTGGGTGTGGGGTGTATAGGACTCTTCTGTAGTTCCTGTGAAAGGCTTGCCTTTAAAAAAGGAAAGTTGATTGATTAGTATAAAATGTCATAGAAATGTCCAAGTGCTCACCCCCTGAGGTGATAAAATACCAGGTTTTGGGTAACCCGCCAAGCTCCCATGTCAGGATTAATTGGCAGTCATATTAGTAACAAGCATGACGCAGGCTGTGCTATTGTTGGCATATCCTTTTGAATTGTACAAAGTGGTCACATGAAAAACAAAGGAAGATTAAAAATTCTACCAATTATTTCATCTTCTGTGCACTTGAGTGATCTGCTAGCTGGAAAAAGCTCAGGATATTTAAACCAAATGGACTGTACTTGTCACTTATTTAAAGTAAATATCTTTGGGAG